AACAAACAACAACTGTTTTTGATTCCTCCGACTCATGTTATAAAATTCCTGTAAATAATAGTTAAAAGAATTATTAAAAACTAATGGATATAAAAGTGGCGACGAGAGTGAAATTTTGGAGGCGTGTAAAAAGATTTCTATGTGCATTAGTGCTGAAGAAGCTTTACTTCGTCTACCGACTGGCTGAAATCTCGTTGAACATTTCAAATGGTCCTATCTGCATTGATCGATTCTCTTCATCGACTTTCTCTTTCGTCAATAACTCAGCTGCAAAACCTTTCCCTGTTGTATTTGACATTTTGGACGCTAGATAAGAACCTCCTTTATCAAAATATGTGGTAGAATTAACGCGAAATCTGTTTGCATAGCAGTGTTTATGAAAAGAGAAAGTCGATTAAGAGAATCGATCAAAGCAGATAGGACCATTTTAAATGTTCATCGAGAAATCTACGGTATGGCTGCGGAGTTGCATCGGCGACTGGAACTATCCGTTTAAAGCCAACTGGCTGCTAAGTGAAAACGAGTGGGAGAATTACCAGATTGCAACATTGTACGGAAGATTGAGACGAAATTCCATCAGCCCTGGCTTGAAGTAAGCCAATAAGTTATTATTTGTTTGTTGTTTTGATAACCCAACAAACAATTCAAAGTCACAAATAAGCATACAAATTGAATAAATGCTGTAGAACAGTGTACAATGCTGAATAAAACACGATGTCGAATTATGTGCTGAAAAAAACTCATTGAGATCAATAGTTGCGCCTTTATTCCGCCGTTTGCTCTGATATGATTAATTTCCTTATTAAAAGCTTTATAAAAGTTGACTGTCTTCCTTATTCAGAAACAGAAGTTTGATCTAATCTGAATAAGTGTAATTTGCACATACATTGTCGCTTTAAATCGACTGTTTTCAATTGATTGAATAAAATGCTCTATTAAACGTCTTATAAATGTTCTCCAACTCCTTTATTAGATTTCGTTGCATTACTTTACTATATTGCTGAATAAAGGTGAATACAGTCGGCATAATAACTCTTATACCACTATGCGTCCATGTTTTAATTGCATGCTTTGTAAATGCTTTATAAACGACGTATTAAATTCATTATTCCACAACACTGATTCAGTCTTACAACAAGGCGAAATCAGTAGAGTAGTGGTTATCGTTTCCGCTTTCCAATTCAAAGGTCGTGAGTTCAATCCCAAGGTCAACCCTTTTTTTATTTGTGTAGAACATAATTAATTTAAATAGTAATCATCGATCACATGACTCACGATAATGAATGCATTGATCCAGTTTAAAGTATAACCGAGCATCCTTTCTTTCGACTTGGAGATGTGAAGAGGCAACATTGGTCTCATTTAAAACAACAATGAATGAATTAATCATTCCCACAGGGCCTTTAAGGAGCTAGAGTTGCGATCGGGAGTGCTGATAGGTATTAACTTTCATGCAAGCTTTTATTGATTATTGAGTTGCCCATATGATGAATTCTAGGATAGCTCAGATTACAAGGCAAGTGGCTGGTGATCGGAAGGTACGTTGTTCGAAACCCATACAACGACATGTATAAAGTATTTAATAAATTTTCTAATATCTGTGTGGTGCAAGCCAAGTCAGAAATAATAAAATACAATACACTTAAAAAACACCACACCCTTCCCTGTCCCGTCCCTCTTATTTTCGGATTAATTTTCCCACAGTTGAAAAATCGTTTAATAAATGTATAACAATGTCTAATTAAACGTTACTTCACATGAGAATCAAGCGTATACAGAGCATCCCTGTTTTAAGGAAGCAGGTGATGTCTAATAAACGTTTATCGTATAAACTCTGTTACAACTCATATAAGTCGAATAAAAGCTTCTCGACATACCTTATACAACACCAAGGGGTTCAATGTTGTGGTTGAATAAATTCTCCAGATTTGTGTGAACAAAGCCTGAACAGAAGTTATTATTAAAAATAGTACAAGTACTATTAAGCATGCAGTTGAATAAAATGGCCAACAAGTCGTTTCTTCAATAGACGATTGTTTGTTGGGAAGACCAAGGGTAAGATATCATCAGGGTGGGTGAGTAAAAAGACTATTTGCGAGAAAGTTAATGTTCTATGTCTTATAAAAAGTGACGACCGCAATGACTGCAGCATAAATGTGCTTAAAGCACCATTTTCTTTTTGGTAGTGATGTATTATGGACGATAAGACATAAAGAATGAAAGGAGGAATTGTTAATACAAAAATGGACAAACGACAGTATTCTATAGGGCAAAGTTTGAAGAAGTTCAAGACAATAAAAATAAGAATGGGTTTCTTTTGTTTAGGTTTGCATGTGTGGAATTCCACATCGGCCAAGTGGCTGATTGTTTTGATCCAGCTGGATATACATGTGTGATGCAATGGTGCATTGTGGCTAAGGTGAATCATTTTCCCGCTTGATGAATATGGAGGATGCTTCGAAGCGGTGCTGGACGGAAACATCCGTATATGGACACCAAGCAGTTCGTTGCCCTATTAGACGGGGTTGCCCTATTAGACGAGAATAATGTCAGTATTGAAAGGGTTTTTTGTAAACGCCAATGGACCGAATAGAACCGTAAATTTACTTACTGGTAAGGTTTGTGTTTAAATGAAAGTTATCGGAATTCCGTAAATGTGATGTTTTCACTGTGATTTGTTATTTCAGAAATAATCAAGTTGCCTTTGATTTTTGAAGTTCTCCTTATTGAGCTCATTTATTAAACGCGAAAATTAATATACGTAGTCCACGTTCAAATATTAGTATTTTGAAGTAATAGATAATTTTAAGGGAGAAGAACTATCAACAATCAATACGAAACTAACGATTTTAAATTGGCTCACTACTTGACTGATGATTAACGTACCCCATTCTAGTCGAAATTCTAGTACTACGCAATGTTTGTTTTGATTCGCTATGAAAGTTTGACAGATAAAATGAGGGGTTATTGGTTTTTCCTATGTTTCGAGGGGTGAATCGATTAGCTTGGGACCAAAGATAGTACCAGAGCTGAGCCAAAAAGTTGAGCACGTTATTTCGGGACCTTCTAGTCTTAGAGTTACCTCTATGGAACTATGGTGTATACCTCCCTTAAAACGATAAGCTAACGATTATGTGTAGCACTCAAATAATGAATGTTTGTATATGTATTATTGAAATGAATGCAATGATGGGAAACAATAAATAACACAGCGAGCTGGCACTCGAGGTCAGATTCTGTTGACTGCAGAGCAAACAACAACTGTTTTTGATTCCTCCGACTCATGTTATAAAATTCCTGTAAATAATAGTTAAAAGAATTATTAAAAACTAATGGATATAAAAGACCCTACCTATCGACCCATCAACTCATGAACCGGAGAGATTTTATGCCTCAGAAAGGTTTTTTTAAATTCAATTTCAATTCTGTTTGTTACTAAAAGAAAACAAAACATTACCCAACGCGTACATCGTACGGGTTAGGCAAAAATGTGCGTCTATCTTGAAAAACTGTCGCATTAATGGCCCTTCGCTCATTTTCAACTTCTATTCAATTTTCATACTGCCGTACTCTAACGGAACTATCCACCTACCCTCTTCTAAAGATCATTCTCTAGCTAATAAATCATCACACTAAAGCTTCATGTTAGCATTTCCAACCAACTCTGAAAATCGTTAACTTCGCGTATGAAGTAACATAAAAACACTTTGAATAAAACATTATTGAATCAATGAACATATTTTTATTTGCACTGCGTATAGTTTCAGGCTTAATAAAATAAATATGATTGAATCAAGAATCTCTTTAAAAAACCATATTTTTTTGTTGACCCAGCTGCCAAATTTGACAGCTTACGTCAAAACCATGAAAGCCCTTGTAAATTTGAAAAGATTTTCTTTTTGATTTAACAATCCATAGGTTTTAAGAAAAAAAGATACTGGATTGTTGAAATAATAATGATTTATTTTTGCAATGAAATTCTTATTAATTTTACGTCAAATATTATTGCGTTAAAAAAAAATTTCTGTGTGTTCTTAGTGTTTTGAAGAATGTCCTTCGGAAAATTGTTCGTGGTGTTTTACCTTACGGAGTTGACCAATGATGCCAGGAATGAAAAATATTTTTTTCTATTTTAATTTTTTATTTTATTTGGATTTTCTACCGCAGTTTAGCAGCTAGTACCTCGATGAGAACACACAAATTGAAATCATAAATATTTATCATAAAGTGCAGAAACTCAGCGATGAGTAAATTTTCCTTATGTTTTTCCAGGAACAAATCTCCGAATATGAGAAAAATTAAAATTTGATTCACCTCGGGATTCACTCAGTCTATGGTTAAATACTACTCCTATACTCTTAGGAGTACTCCTAGAATTTCCGTCGAATTTCTTCATTTTCCGGCAGATTTTTGAGTTTTTCCACAGAAAAACACTCGGAAAAACATGAGGCAAATTTCCAAATTGCTGAGTTCCTGCACTTTTGGCGTTTATGAGTAAACTAAACTTAAATGTGGAACGTCCTCATTCACCGTACACAGTTTAGCAATCTCTTTTTTTTTTTCTTTTTTCTCCCTTTTTATGGCACAGACCTGTTGGTCCATATTAGGTTTTGCACCGTCGGGGCTAACCTCAATCTGATGACAGTTCAGTGGTACTGTTTACGTGGACTTAGTCGTTTTTTTCTTGGGTGGATTTTCTCGATAATTTTTCAGACTGCAGTGAGATGCAAACCACACTTCTGCAGTGTCCACGAGCAACATCCTTTAATCGCACTGTTCCTCGACAATTTTCAAGTTAAAATTCGGAAATTTTAGAAATTTTTTTTTCGAAAAAACGACTAAGTGCTTGTAAACAGTACCACTGAACTGTCAAAAAGGTTCAGCCGGCTAACACTGAGTTCATTTGTGACGTCACGCTGCAGAACCTAATTAGCCAGGCGTATCAAGTGATAGTTGGTATTTTTTTTAGCAATCTCTATGCGTGATTCGCGAAACTTTGACAAGGGACAAAGGAACAAAGTGTCGTGAAAATTTCTGCATTCGTTAAATAGCATTAATTTAATATCAGTATTTTATGTAAAAATAGTATTAATTACTATTCCAAGTTACGTGGGCTGTACAATAGTGCAATCGTGTCGTGAAATTGTAAGGTACCATAGCGAAGGTAAGAGTATGTTTATATCGCGTAAAATATTAGTCGTTTTGATAACAGGGTTGTGGCAAAGAGGAGCTTTTCGGGGGTTAGTCTTCGCCCTCTTTCGGATGCTAAAAATCAAATTACCGAGTGAATCCTTTTATTTATTTTGGTACGTACCTACATATTTATTCTATTGGTATTTTGTATTTCGGTACGTAAATATCTACTATGGGTACTTTATTGCCGCTTTGTTCCAAAGAGTCGATTTTTGTTATCACTAGGTTAAAATCAAAAAAAGCTTCCAAATTAGGCATATTGTGTTTATCTCTGATTATTTTTTTTAACAAGAAAATGGATAAATAGATGGGTAAATTTACTTTCAAGGATAAAAGGATAGAAGCTTCTGCGTCTGAAATGAGTTATCTTCAATACTCTAGCAAGCCTTGACAATACTCGATATCCTGCACGTCATTATTCATTTTCGCTTTTTCGAAGCAGAATCAACTAAATTGTTCGGAATATGGCTTCCCAAATTTCCTGCTCAAGTTCTGCTCAAGCCACTGTGTTCGGCTTCGTTGAAAGTCTGGTCAAAACCATCCCGGGAAATACAACTGGCTGCGAAAGAGAGTACAGGGTGGAATCTTTAAATAATATGGCCAAAACGCGAGACGAGCCACAGGGTAGAATGGACAATCGACGTATTCTGAAGATAAAACAACAGGTGGCCAAACAGAATAACTTCATCAATGAGCTGAAAAAGAATATCCGTCTCTTGGAAGCGATGACACCCAAATCCATCTCGGACCGAGAGAAGCTTGCCTTCCTGAGAAGCCGCCTGGATAAAGAAAATGAGCTGCTGAACAACTTGTTAAGTAAACTTATCGGAGAACAGAAGCAATCCGATAGTCCAGTCTGGGAGCAGATTCGGCTTTGCAGCGAACCTTTGGACGATTTTTCTCGTAATCCGTGGATGCTGGGAAATGTACCAATATTTGACCAATGTTTCTCCTTCGATTCTACTCTATCATCGTTGAGTTCCAAAGCTCAGGTTGGTGGCGAATCGAATTACCTGGATGAGGATACGAAAAATAGGCTGAAGAAAGAACTGATGAATCGGGATCGAGTTATTGATATTTTGCAAGCTCGTGTTGAGGCACTCACCGCGGATGTCCTGAACGTAAAGAAGGATAATGAAGCTATTTTGGACAAAACTCCTAGGCAAACCAAATTCTGCGACGCGGACATATTTAATCGGTTGCGGTTTTACAAAGAAAATACAGACGCATTAGAAAAGAACTTACAACAAATGGGAGCAGCGTTGGATGTGATACGGTCGGAGTTGGGCACCACCTTGCCTGGGGAATTCCAAGATCCAATCGGATGTAGCACGTTGATTACGTCATGGGACAGCGGTAAAACAAATGGGGAAGAAGCGAAATCGTCCGCTATGTCCAAGCAAGGTGACGATCAGTACAACAGCCTTATGAAAAAGTTTGCTAAAAAGTCGAACGAGTGCAAAAAATTAACAGATCGTTTAGCTAAAGCATGTTCCTGCCGAAGTGAATCTCCGGAGCAACTGGAAGGAGATGTCCTAAAAAACCGATGTTCGGAACTGTTGGACGAGCAAGAAGAGTTTAAGATTCTTATCAAAGAGCAAGGTGATCAACTTGAGGAGTACCGTGGAAAATATATAGCAGCACAGCAGCAAGTTGAAGAGCAAAAACTGCAAATGGATAAAATGGACGTAACGAATCGGCAAATCGAGGAGCAAATAAACATGGAAGTCCAAAGAATCAAATCCAAATTTCAATACAAGCTTAGGCAACTAACGCCTTTCCCTAAGCTGCTGGAAGCCGAAGAGCAGAAGGTGAAAAATTTGAAGACATCAAATCAAAAGCTTTTGGCAGAACTGAAAAAGTCAGCAATGGAAATCAAGTCGTTAGAGTACCGTCTGCACACTGCACACGCTTCACAGAACGTTGCATTGGAGAAAGCTCACAATCTGCTCAAAGTCGAGTTGAAACAGGTGAAGGAAACTTTGCAAACCGAGGAAGTAACGAGAGAAAAACTGCAAGACCAGCTGGTCGCTGCGCAGAAAGAAATGGAAGAAGTTAGAACAGAGACAGCTAAAATTATCGCTCGAGCTAACGACCGATCCCAGGAAGATCGAAAAACGGACCAAGCGAGAATTCATGGCCTTGAAATGGAATTAGCTAAGTGCCGCGCTGCTGCCTCCGTGACTATCAATAACCGCGAAGAAGCTTTGCGTGAAATGCAATGTCAGATAGGGGTGCTATCGGGTAGCTTGAATGACGCCCAAATTCAGATACAATCACTCCGTAATCAGCTCACGTTTTTGCAGAATGAAAGATATGGCTCGCGTGTCTAAAGGCCTTATCAATTCACAATTGAAGTCAATAAACTGTTTCAAACAAACTGATTCAGTGGTTTTCTTTTGTTTACAAGATCACCGCCATTTGTTTCATTGTCTTTCTATTGAACTGAACATTTTAGCTTAGTGTGTATTTCATTTTTATTATTACAGATATTAGATACAAGCAAACCGGTGATATATACCGTACGCATTCGGGACCAAACTTTATTAACGTACATACAGAATGGCTGATTTCACTGAAGATCTGGAGAATTGGATGGGAAAGCTTCCACCAGAGTTAAGAGCTGTCCCAATTATCAATCTAGCTATTCCGGGTTCCCATGACACCATGTCATACGGGATTAAAAGCAAATCACCAGTCGCACCCGACGCGGAACCGATCGTTGAATCACTGAATAAGTTCATTCCATGCGTAGTGAGACGTTGGGCCGTCACGCAGCGCTACAATGTTGTGGATCAACTGAAAAGTGGCATCCGGTGAGTACTCAAATTTAATCTTGAATGTTAAATATTTGAGCATTACTATTATTTATTACCACCAGGAAGACATCATCTAAAATTAGAACAGTTACTGTGCATATTTGCATCAATGATGTCAAATGCTATAAAATGCTGCTTTTTTTCGATACTGAAAGCTTCACAGAATGCTTTTGATATAATTTTGGATATTCGAAACTCAAAATTTTAGAATTTGCGTGGAAGTATTTATAGGTACACATGAAATTGAAGTTGACCGTTTTCATGGGAAAAATAATCCATGTTTAGACAGTTTACTAATCTTCCAGGGTGAGGCAGACGGTCAGCTTATTTGATAATTCTGCAACGGACGTCTTTTTTTTAATATTACCTGAGTGTGCTCGTCCTTGCTTGGGATTCAATATTAGCTTGAATTTATGCGCAGATTCTAAAAAGCATGCTATATTTTCCTGTTTCATTTATGTGGGAGCCCCCCTCGAACCATCATAAGAACCTTTCCCGGCCCCTGTATACAAATTTTCACGATGATCGGTTCGCATGCTACGCATGCCTCGTACTTGCACTTCAGTGACAAGTCTGCTGCTTCATTCATTGTTTATAAAGGAGTAAGACTGGTTTGATCTTGTTAAAGATACATTGATAAATTCCCTGATAAATTTAGTTTTGTTTTACATAAGTTTATTTCGTCATACCCCTCCTGTCATTACCATTTGTGAACCCAACATAATTGTACCTATGTTTATACTATTGCCAATAGATATTTCGATCTGAGGATTTGCATGAAACGACCCGAGAACAAGTTTTATTTCGTGCATGGCTTGTTTAGCGAGGAAATAACGGAACCTATGGAACAGTTAAAAGATTTTCTTCGGACTCACCCGCGTGAATTTGTCGTACTAGATTGTCAGCACTTCTACCTTTTCAACCCAACGGATCACTGTGTTCTTTCGGCGGAATTGAACAGGATTTTTGAGAAAAAAATCTACTCGCGTAACGTGAATCAACTCAAGGATTGTACACTGGAATTAGCAACGGGCAATGGCCAACAGGTGCTAATTGTGTATCGAAGCGATGCGTGCGTCAACGACCGCTTCTGGTTGAGTCAAGATTGGCCTACTCCATGGCCAAATGAAATCAAGGTGAAACAGTTACGCCAGTATCTCGATGAGAAGTTGAGTCAACGCAATCCAGAAACCGGTTTCGTTTCACAGTGCGTCCTTACGCCCAGTACTCGGTACATAGTTCCCAGATTTATGTCGTCACTTCGATCGACATGTGCCAAGGAGGTGGACAGAAAATTGTCAGATTGGATAAAATCGCAAACTCCTGGTCCATTCAGTGTAGATGATAAACCTAAGTCAAATGTGTTTCTGGCAGACTTCATTGATATTCAAAACAGTAACTTTTGTAAAATTGTTGTAAGTTTAAATAAGAAGATACTAGACCAAAATAGTAGTGCACAAAGCTCTCCATCTAAGACAAGCGACTAAACGAGAAACTAGGTACTAAGCAACTAAACAACTCAAAGACAATCGAATGTTGTCTAATGTTACGTCTATAAATAAACCAAACTGCAGTCACTACTGAGCAACATTGAACTGACCTAGATAGGAATTTCTACTTCGATAAACTTTACTACTATTGATAGTTGGTATAACTAGGGTAATGTCATATGGGCATGTTTCTATGCGCGTAATGTTACATGATGTGTAAGTTCATATTCTATTACTTATCACGAAAGAGGTTGTTTGTTCTGAAGTTGGCTTCTGTGGCTTATCTCTTTTATGTTACAGAATATGTGTTCCAGTAATGGTGTTTTTTTTTTATAATTGTTATGGTATGATAAGGTCATTTTACCGAAATGATGATTAAAAACTAGTCATTAGTAACTAGAATGGGCCTCATAACCTAGTCATTAAAGGCACGGTATTATCAAGCCGGAGGCGGGTTCGATTCCTGGTCCGGTCGAGGGAATTTTTCGGGTTGGAAATTTTCTCGACTTCCCTGGGCATAGAGTATCATTGTGCTTGCCACACAATATACAAATTCGTGCATTGGTATTGGCATCGAAAGCTCTAAATTAATAACTGTGGAAGTGCATTTAGAACACTAAGGCTCTGAACCATTTGGTGGATTATTTTAATTTTTGGTTAAAATTTGACAGATGAAAAGTTATTGATTAACCCTGCTATCCGAGCGTGGTTACTTCTGACAGACAAGAAGTTAAATTTTGACGACCGTGGCTCGAAAACCGGTCGATCGGCAGCACGGGGGTTTTCGAACATAAGAAATAACTTTCGAAATGTCACTTTTAACCACGAGTTAAATTTAACTCGGCAAATGGTTCACAGCCTAAGGCTCTGAACCATTTGGCGATTTTTATTACTTTTGGTTAAAATTTGACAGATGGAAAGTTATCGATTAACCCTGCTATCCCAGCATGGTTATTTATGACAGACAAGAAGTTAAATTTTGACGACCGTGGCTCGAAAACCGGTCGATCGACAGCACGGGCATTTTCGAACATAAGAAATAACTTTCGAAATGTCACTTTTAACCACGAGTTAAATTTAGCTCGGCAAATGGTTCACAGCCTATATCTACATCTTAAGGCTCTGAACCATTTGGCGATTTTTTTTAACTCTTGGTTAAAATTTGACAAATGAAAAGTTATCGATTAACCCTGCTATCCGAGCATGGTTATTTCTGATAGACAAGAAGTTAAATTTTGACGACAGTACGGGGATTTTCAAACATAAGAAATAACTTTCGAAATGTCATTTTTAACCACGAGTTAAATTTAACTCGGCAAATGGTTCACAGCCTAAATTACTTCGGTGTACGGCAGTGTAGCAGCGGTGTAGCTACACCGCAAAAACGAAAACGACATAAGGCTGTGTTCCATTTGGAAAATTTTCTCTTAGATTTGACACTTCGAAAATAAATTAAGATGTTCGAAAATCCCTCTGTTGTTGATCGGCCGATATCCGAGAAAGCGTTTGTCAAAATTGATTCCTTGTCTGTCAGAAATAAGTCTGCTGGAATTAATGAGGTACAGAGAGAGGTGAAGCAGATCGTGAAATATGATTGTATTAGTAATCCAAAAAAATCAACGTAAACTGTAAAACGTAATCTGTCAAATTTAAGTAAAAATTCACCAAATGGAACACAGCCTAAGTTGAGAGCACACAATAACCTAATATGCACTAAGCAATAAGCTTGAAATGCGAAAAAGAAGAAGAAGAAGAAGAAGTAGCTAGAACGTTCTCTATGGTTCGGAGAGAAAGAGAGAGAGAGAGCCGATAATTTAATGAAAATTATGCAGAAAACATTGGTACAAAACTGAAAACAACTGATGAAGTCGTGTTGCCAAAAATTGGACGGCACTAAAATTACTTAGTTCCACTATTGCTGGCTCAGCTACCCTGTTTAGAAAAAAAAAATCATAAAGGTTTCCCTTCTCTTTATTTATTTTCCTATTAACTTGCCCATTTTTTATCATAACATTTAAATACTGCTCCATATTTCGTCAACTCATTTTTGATAAAAAAAAAGTTCCAATCGATCTTGAAGTTACGCTGGATTTTAAATGCGTACTAGTTGCTAAACTATAATTGCACCATAATTTTTAAAATATTTAAATAAGTCATAGGATCATCACATTTTTTTAATCGTTTTTTTAAACACTACATATTTTAATAAATGAAAAATTAGTTTGTCAGTAAATTTTTACTATAGAAGCTTTAAGCCTCCTGGTTAGTTGGCCTCTTGTATGTTAAAATAAATCTCATGATCAATTGGAATCAGTCTCATCAAAATCGGTTAAGAACTGGTTAAATGTAAGCAACACAATTTTGTTTTGAAGAAAAGGGTTGAGTACGTAATGGTTAACCACAAGGTGAATCTTTGCAGAGTACTGTTTCGCAATTCTTTCAAGCCAAAAAATAAGGGTTTGTAAATGTAACGTAACTGAAACTTTCCCTCCCCTTGGCTAGTTTTTGCACCTTGCTGTTGGTGGGCGGGCTTAATTTCATGCTAGTGGAGTGTTGGAGACGGTGGGTTTGTGGCCGACGTTGCTGGCTCATGCCGCGATAGAATGGCGCCATGGGCAGGCAATGAGGATTACTGAGCTTCCCCTCTCTGATAAACCACTGCATGAGAGAACAAAAGATCTAGTCCAGCAGTGATAGTATCACACTTGTTACTCCTTTTATTGAGAGCCGCGTCGTGGTACGCTTACGTATAGGCACTGACGTTGGGTGTGATACTGGCGGGTTTTGCCGCAAATCACTCTTATTTTATTTATTTTTACGCAGATAGATTTATTTGGGTTTGCAAGGGAATTATACTATTGAAATATTTCAGAAAGTGCCCAACGGTACTCCTTCTACTTGCGTGACAAGCTTTCATTGTTGTTTTCATTGAAGTATTACTCAGGGAACAACTTTAAACATCATTTTTGTACATGGTATTGTAACTAATCTTATATGTGCTTCATTTTGATTTGGGATAAATGTTTGAACTATGGCTCGGGATTTCCACTGTTGCGTGCTTCTATTGTGATATATCCATACGTAATTTTGTGGGACGACATAGTGGAAACGTGTGAGCGTAGTTGGAGCATATACCCTATATAATTTAAAATCAGCTAGGAAACTAACTTCAAAATGAAGCATTTTAGTCACTTGAGGGTGTCACCTGGGTCGAACTAAGATATAATAAATAGGTATAGGTCAAAATCAAAAGTACTTGAAACACGTTTAATTTTAGATTACAAGCACAAGTGCAGGTACTTAATAAAGCATGGGTTATGATTGATTAGGTGACTTAGAGCTTTTAATAATTTATTAATTTAGACTAATGAGATATCATAACCATCAAATGAATTTAAATAATAAACTTCAGAAAGTTTAATGACATTAAGTAGATTAACAAAAGAATTAGGAGGCGGGTGGTCCGCTTAGGGAGGCAACTAACCTTTATAGTTGTAGAATAAATCTTCTTATTTAGTATTGAATTTAAAAAAAAAAGAAAACGCAGGCAGACCAATAGCATTTAGCAGATTAACAAGGAAAGGAATAGTTTAGGAAAAAAGTAAAAGTAGAGTTATGTGACAGTTATTAGCTTTTAAACTTTTGGAGGTATTGTATTCCCCTGAGTTTGTTGTACTCGATTACTATATAATTCTCTCAATACGCGAAATCTCTTATATATGCGATTAAAGCATTTGAGTTAACTTATTTCTTAGTGTTCAAGTACTTACATTTGTAAACAGCAATCAATGTTAATCTATGAACTAAACCATACGTAAAATCGATCTTTCCTTATGTGGTATTGATGCATGTTTAACTTTTCGCGGCTTTCGGAATCAACGCGCCTACGTCTACGGAGCTTACGCAGAAGTGATTTGCAATGCGGTAGAGCTCACCAAAAGTTTTTTTTTTTTTTTTTTGAGCTTCTGTAGTATAGAATTTGTTCGGTACGGTCGCGAAATCTTGAAATGATTGATACGTGCGGTAAAATAACTAAATTGAAACAAAGCTCAACAGTAAAATAAGTAGAATATTTAGGGAGGAAACCAAAATTTATCAACTTGCCAACATAGGCTATCACATTTATTTTGGTGGCACTCTTTAAGTGATAATAAGTTGTTTTTTTTTCTCTACGGTTGTTTCGCGTGGCGTTCACAATTTGCGCGATTTTCGTATCTTACGTAATTTAGATGTTTAACTATAAACGGTTTCACTGACTCGAGGTCGTTCCTTAAGCGGTGTTGGTACAGGTTAAACCTTTGCCGACTGTCGGATTCAACGCGCCTACGTCTACGGAGCTTACGCAGAAGTGATACGCAATTCGGTAGAGCTTGTCAAACGCTTTTGAGCTTATAGAATTTGTTCGGTGCGGTCGCGAAATCTTGAAATGATTGATACGTTCTTTAAATTAACTAATTTGATACAAAGCTCAGTAGTAAATAAGTAGAATATCTAAGGAGGAAACCAAAATTAATCAACTTGCCAACATAGGCTATCACATTTATTTTGGTGGCACTCTTTAAATGATAATAAGCCTTTTTTTTCTCGCTTCGGTTGTCTCGCACGGCTTTCGGAATTCGCGCGGTTTTCGTAACTTACATAATTTAGATATTTCGTTCGAAACGGATTTACTTATTCAATCGGTTTACTACGCGGATGTATCTACGCGCACACGTCACAGCATTTTTTCTATAACTATCTTGAAACAATACATACGGAATCCAGCGTTCAAGCGGTCAACATAGGCTAGTCCTTCTGCTGTATTGTCAAAGATAGAAGCAAAATTTATTCAAATGGGTCAAGTCTTGAAAATTAAGCTGTCACGCAGCTCCAGCTTGATACCAATAAAAAAAAAAAAAAAAAAGTAAATGTAACGTAACTGAAACTAGAATCGAATGTGAACAATGTCTGAAATATATAGATCTATAAGGTGTTTGAGTATTTAGATCTGTGCTCTGGAAATGGCAAAGTGTCATAAGAAAAAGGACTCCACAAATTTACACCTTATCCGTCATTGTTGCATATCTAAATCGCAACCGCTAACCCGCGTTTAGGACAACTCTTCATTAATTAGAACAATATTGAGAAGTCAGAGCTATGATTTGGTAGGTAGTTTAAAACTACGTGAAACTCAAAACCTTGTTATTCATCCATATTTCCTATTTCGATCAAAACTGATTTTACATTAAAAAAAAAGGTTATCGGAGATCCATTTGGATCGAAATGGGAAATAGCGAGCATTACTTCTATAATTCTGTACGAAACTGTTACTCAAAATCTGAGTTGTATACATGATTTTTTGTATACATGATTTATTGTGATTTTAAAACAAGTTCTTTTTTTCAAGATTTAAACGGGTTTTAATTAGGCCTTCAATGACCAAATTTGCTACTTGCGGTGCTACAATTTCAAACTTTTAATTAAATGTTATTATAACAGTTTTGGAACGACCTTCTACCAGCGATTTGAAAAAAAAATTAAGCAATAGTTTCCAGATTAAAACAAGCTTAGCCTAAATTTGACACTATTTTCTCGAGGTTCCGGAAGAAAATATTTCAAAATATTGTTCCACGGCAAAGTTCGAGTGGTAAAATACGTAATTTTAAATTGCTCGAATGATTTGATGCATTCTCATTGAGCTTCGGATTGAAATTTGCTGAGAAATTTTTTATTACACCATTTTTGATACATGCAGAATGATTTGATTTCCTACTTATATCTTTTGTATTTGTGTACTTAGGGGGGCTTCCCTTTTAGCTCAATCGGTTAAGATAAAGGCTACTATTTGTATTCTCGACCCGGTTTATTAATGTTTCGGCTAAAGACATTTCTATACTTCCCTAGACCGAATATATACGGACGAATGCAAAAATGATTACTGCAACTGCAGAAGTTTTTTTTTTAACTTTATTAAAGTGATTTCTAGTTGAGGGCTAGTTCATCACAAACTGCGGAAGTGCTCCAGACGTAATGTCATAGAGGTAACTCTAAGACTAGTAGGTCCCGAAGAAACGTGCTCAACTTTTTGGCTCGCTCTGGTACTATCTTCGGTCCCAAGCTAATCGATGCACCCCTCGAAATATAGGAAAATCCACGAACCCCTCATTTTATCTGTCAAATTTTCATAGCATATCAAAACAAACATTGTGTAGTACTAGAATTTCGACTAGAATGGGGTACGTTAATCGATTTGCTTGGGACCAATGGGCTAGTCAAGTAGTGAGCCAATTTAAAATCGATAGTTTCGTAATGATTGTTGGTAATATGCCGGTTGGGTCGTAAAAGTCAAAAAAGAAGTTTTTTTTTAATGTATTTAAACATTAATATTTGACTACCTACATTAAATTTTCATCACAGTTGAGAGAGCAGGCGTCATGTCTTTAATTGGTTTACTTTTTTTTTATTACGTCAACAACCTTCAAAGCGGCGCCGGTGGTGTAATAGTTAACGTGACTGCCTCTCACTCCAAAGGGCCTGGGTTCAATCCTAATCTCTGAAATCTCTGATCAAGCCTTCCTTCGGAAAGGAAGTAAAGCCGTTGGTCCCCGGTCCATGAGTTGTGACGGGTCGATAGGTAAGGTCCAGGTGTGGGAGCTGCCTTCCTGGCGTCGGTAGCATTGGTACTCAGTACGGAAAACAAGATCGACGGAAAACAAATTAAGGAAAAAAAAAGTGAGAAGTCATTCTGTTCGTTCGGCTTTCATGTGCATGAGCATAAATACCTAAGATAGTTAAAAAATAGAATAATTAAGAATTGTTAAAATGGATTACTTTCTCGAGTCCGTTAAATTTGTATTTTTTTATTGTGATTTTAGCCGTAGGCTAGTTCATCACGTTTGATAGCAGAAGGTTAGGCTTAGAAGCTGCATCGAAAGAGAGGTTTCAATTTGACATTAACGTAACATACAACTGGCTCTAATTACCCACCGAAAGAGACAGACAACATTTTAAAAACTTAATGTAAAATGAGAATTACAACGGAACTGTGGTAAGGAATGGGTGGATCTCCACCGTAGGAGACAGTGCATCCGTCCGGCAGAGACACTCCGACGGCAAAAAAAGTACAAAGGTGAAGAGAACACGATCGGCGCAGCCAAAGACTAGAGGACTAGATTTGGTTGTACAGGTGAGTACAGTACAACCCATAATCGCATATCAGTCCCATTTTTTCTTCATTTCCTATCCATATGGGACTGATATGCGATTATGGGTAGAGTACGTGTTCCACCGAGGCACAGTGGTCTAGAACTTTGAAAAAACGGTCAAAAGTCATTATCTCATGAATCTTGCATTTTAGACTAGTAATGTCTTCTGGAAAGTTTCTGGATATAAAATGCCCTTTTTTTGACAATGACAAACCAATGATTAATCCTCCTATAAGAGAGATTCAAAATTATTTTTTCCAAAACTTCCATATGCCGGTTCGGTGTCTTCGACAACGTGTTAGAAAATATCGAAACAAGAAAGTTTGCTGAAGACACTAGGTGGCTATTTCTTCATCTCATAGAAATATGGAACGTTTTTGGTGGAAAACCTCATAATAAAAGTATCTACTTAATAATTAATTTCTTTAAACTTCTACTGGTTTGAAATGTTCTACAAAATTATTCAAAACATTAATACACATAAGTTTGATGAATATCATAGCACACTAGATCGCTAAATAGGTAAGTTATTATTGGTTTTGCTCCAAAAATATAATTTTTAGCCACATAATTACGATTTACTACCATTTCTAACCACATCCCACGACAAAACCAATAGGAATAGTTTTTGTCGTGGGTACAAAAAATAAAGTATTACAAATATTAAACAAAATCAAATCTATGTTAAAAAAAAAACCAAAAAATATCTATTGAAATCAAGAATTACTTGCCTATTTTAAAGTGCGGTGCAGTGTATAATCACACATATATCACATATCTAATGGATGAAATCCATGTGATTTTCACATAGCTTTCCTGTGATCACATAGCAGCAAATCCCACCACAAAATCACATGAATCTTATGAGGTCCATGAAATTCATATGAAAAATCATATAAAATAAATGTGATCGCATAAATGTTATGTGAAATTCAGATGAATTCCATTAATTTTGATTATGGATGAAAATCATGTGCGTTTCCGATGGAAGCTACATGAAAACTATTTTCGATGCAGAAAATGTATGTATCACAAACGAAGTGACAGACGACTAACTGGCGAAGAAATCCATTAAAATAATGTGGTTCACTGTAATAGAATTTTCTTGGAAGCTTGTGCCATCATCCACCAGATGGGTTAGTTTTTTTGTTTTGATTTGAACAAAGTTGATTTTGTGTACAATGATTCTTTGACAGTGTGCAAAGAGTGTATCATTTTGTCATTTTTTTTATGCATTTCAGTTTTGAGTAGAGTGAAAGAGATAGAACCAAAACATTCTAATACATTTCTAGATAGAGCTGGAATTAGGGCCTAACAGCTTTAGTAAACAATGAGTTCTCTTGATGCTTTCTAGAAATTCAAGGCTCGCCTACGCAAACCAACATCCTCATCGGATAGGGAACGACTTCCCCTATCCGATGGTTAGGTTGGTCTGCGTGAACGTGCCTTGAATTCCTAGAAATCATCGATAGAAGTCATTGTTTACAAAAGCTGTTACGCCCTAATTCCAGCTCTATCTAGATTTGGTGAAATTGCTAGTGCAATCCAGTAGTAGTGTTGCCATGTGGTACAATCCAGTAGTAGTGGTGTTGCCATGTGGTACACTGAAAAATTTAAATAGCAGGTTAGTCACCAAAGTTTTCGAGCCGCTCCGTCTGTCACTTCGTTTGTGGTATGTATACTGATGTTTTGATCAATTTTGGACCCTACTTCGAAGCAATAGAGGTTCAAAGAATGAAAAATCACTTTTAAGGGGTTTTCCATTGAAAAAAACATCCCAAATCATGCAGTATTTCACATAAAATTCATGTTTCTGCAAGAAATTTTGAATTTTTTGAAGAAAACACACTTAAATACTTCTATTTCTATTGGTTTTGTCGTGGGATGTGGTGGGAAATGGTAGTAAATCGTAATTATGTGGCTAAAAATTATATTTTTGGAGCCAAACCAATAATAACTTGCCTATTTAGTGATCTAGTGTGCTATGATAGTCATCAAACTTATGTGTGTTAATGTTTTGAATAATTTTGTAGAACGTTTCAAACCAGAAGAAGTTTAAAGAAATTAATTATTAAGTAGAAACTTTTATTAGGAAAAATCCACCAAAAACGATCCATATTTCAATGAGATGAAAAAATAGCCACCTTCAGCAAACTTTCTTGTTTTGATATTTTCTAACACTTTGCAGAAGACACCGAACCGGAATATGGAATTTTTGGAAAAATAAATTTTGAATCTCACTTCTAGGAGAATTAATCATTGATTTGTCAATGTTAAAAGAAACTTTCCTGAAGACACCAGTAGTCTAAAATGTAAGATTCATGAGATGATGACTTTTGACCGTCTTTTAACAGTTCTAGACCACTGTGCGAGGCTAGGATGCTGCAAATTGGACAAACCTTGCGGAAAGGTGTCCCACTGAAATTGAAGGAAATCCTCGCATGGCCAGTCCGGAATCTTGAAATGATCCGCTGGTCCTTGTACTTGTGGCTATCCAGCCAGGGTCGTATGGTTTTCTTGATTTTTTTCAGGGAGGTGGTCCGCGACTGGAACCATTCCTGCTGCCAGGCTTCCATGATAGTATTGGTAACCCAACGCCTGACGTCTAGGAGGGGTACGTCCCTGGTATAGCGGGGACCGGATGGACCAGATCCCACCAGTCTGTCCGCAGCCTGCTGATATTACAGTATAGCCTTGACTTTCCACAACTCGATAAGTGCATGTTGAGTTATGATCCCTACACAATTTGGTTGCTTCATATCAAACACGAAGTACCAGCATCAAATCAAGTTCATTAGCTTCATTTTTTATATGCTCCATTCTGTATCGAGTTGCGAAGAGTTGACTGTAACTACACTGCGACAAACTGGATTTTTTCTAGGAAAGCAACACGTCACGTTTTTTAGGTACGCTCCCTTTTTGAAGTAAGATATTATTCACGGTTTTGGCCATTTACTGCCAACCTAGCATGTGGCATTATTGTTGTGCAAGCACCATTTGCAGAAAATAATTCAAGGAACAGTTGCCTAGAAGATTTGAAAACGCTATATCGATGTTTCACCCTTCAGTACTTCTAACACTTTGACGGTGTTTTTTCAGAACGTGAAGTTCCTCCGTGTTGCAAGCTCGCTGATCTCATACACGTCTGTAGAATGATACAACCTCATAAAAAGAGTTGTAGCTTTAACTTCAAAGACCATGAGAAAGTAAACTATGATACAAATTGTCTGTCCTAGAGAGCCGGGTTGCACAGTTTTATCATTCAAGGTATTATACGAGATTCATAAACCACGTAGACAGTAGAAACGTAGATTATGAATTCTTTTTCTCTTCGATTGCAGTCATGCACACCTTTTTTGGATTATTGATTATTTTTATGGAGCGTAAACAGACGCAGCCCTTCCCATTTTCCACTGAATCTACGAAGCTTACAAACTGCTTACAACGCTTAAACTAAATCTAATGTAGAAATTTATCTTGACTAATTTATATATTTATTTATTAATATCCAAAATAATCCATTCTCCGTAACATAAACTTATCATGCTGAACTTTATTATTATAACTCTAACGTAAACAAACTATAGCATAACTATTACTATACAATAAGTATTGTCTTTCATATTCTCCCGTCCAGAAATCGCTATACATACTTTCTAAGTTACGGTTTACTCAAGGGCACGTAGAAATTACACTGAAATATGTTTTACCGTACAGTTTTAAAGTGATATTAAAATTTTAAAGTGTTGAAAGTTAAAACAGGAATATTAGAACAGAATCATAGATCATTTATATAGGATGTAACACATAGATGAATCACAATCAGCACACAATCAAATGCAATCAGACTGTTCTCAAGAAATAGACGGTAGATAATATTTATATAACAGAATTTATAAACGTTGTGGTCGTACAAAACAAAAATACACATTTGTGATGAAATTTGATGTTAAATAATTGTGATTTTCGTCGTTGAAGCTAGGAACTTTGGATATATTTGGTGAAATCAAGATACATATTAAATTGACTTGTATTTTTGTATAGATCTAAAACTACCGAAAGCCGTTAATGAAAGAAATTAATTGGTTTGCTGAATTTGCAACACAGTAAACATGTAGGTATTACATTACCAACCAAATAATGCCTTATTTTAACAGTGCTACATTATCCCGAATGTCACTTCCCCGGACGCCAACATTCCTATTTCCATGAAGCTGGGTTTAGACAAGGCAAGTGAATTGATCCCATAACGCAAAAATGTCAATTTTGTCTCGACCCCTTCCGATTTGAATGAAAACATTGCTCATATGTTCGCTACTTCCAATGGTTGCAATTTTCATTTATATATGTTTTTTTCTGCACCCCTGGGCTTTGGCAAAAGCTTGAGGTAGTTTAATTAAGCTACCAGGTCTTTACCACATTGGAAAGATGCACACTAGTGTTGCCAGATCAGTGTTGATGCTTACCAAAAGTGCATTTGAACCCGCTTATAAAAGCATATTAACAGATTAATCATCACCGTACATTGTTTATTGCTCTGTACTAATAATGAATGATTAAGCACAGCATTTGATATTTTAGTAGGAATGCTGGATTTAATCGCAGTGGAAATCATTTGTTTTTTAATCCATCCTTTATTGAATTGGATTTATTTTTTAGGTATGCACGTTTGGAAAGTATCATCACAAAGATTCTGCACTGGGTCTACAGCTTGTGAGCGGGAAGCGTTGCTTGTTTTTTTTTTTTTATCTATTTATAGAGTCAATTCTTAGAAATACGAAGCGAAAGACAAATCAAGCATTAAGCACAAGACCTTCAAGAAAACTAACAACACCAAGTCTGGAAATGGCAATGTTTCATTCAAAATGTCAAGTATTTCAAGAATATCGGGTGAAACCAATCGGACCGAGCGCTCTTTCGGTCATCTGGAAGGGTTGTGCACGAGGAGCAATTTTAATCCCACCAGTTTTGAAGACATTCCGGAGCGAGGATCCATTATCCTGTGTCAGAGGGATGATGGAAGTGGCATATCCAGAAACACAATACAACAAGAGAAGGAAGTAGTATTGAACGTAAACAAGGAGTACATGGGAACGTCGAAAACTGTAAGTATACTCCGATCTATTCTAGTACTCTTGTATAAAACCTTTTGTAAACCGGCTAGATCGTAGTCGTCGTCACCGGGACGCATAGTCATGTGAAGATTGCCAGACCCGTGACCACTCATGATAAAGCACACAAGGCTCTCAACATTAAATACATTGCACGGGTTGGGTCGCACAGAGGGTTGATTAGATGTAAATTGCTTTGAAACACCCGCATGAACGATAACCATAAGGAGTGCCTAACAACCTATTCGTGTTATCATCCCAAAAATATGTGGTACGGTAGCACGATTTGTGGTATCGTTCATGTATGGTGTTCCCCCCACTTTTTATTAGGGTCGCTGACGCTCATTGCACGCTCTTTCGTTCTCCGGCTGATTGAATGGATGACGGAGTTTGACGTCACACTCCTTCAGACGTTTAGGCGACGGGAGGGCGAGAGAGATGGCTGTTCAGTACACGGAGATAATTTTACAAATGTATTACTAATAGGTTAAAACACAGTTTAAAAATCACTAATAATCTCTTTCAATCGCTTTTAATTTCTTTTTCATTGACGGTGTGATGTAATCGATGCGCTATGTGACGAGAGCGCAAACCAAATGGGGCCATTTTTCAACGATACGATAATAACTTATACGCTTTTCACACAAAACCTACCCAACCCTTTCCTTTCTACAATCCCTGAGCAGCTGGTTTACCATAAGTATACCTCGCAGAACTTTTTTAACCCCCATGGGTAAAGATGCTGTGTTGCTCACTCCTCTCCCCTTCTCTGGTGTATTATGGATGGTGTGAATATTCACATCGGTGACATGGCCCCTGACCCCCTTTGTACATCATAAAATGAAAATGAAAATGAAAATATATGATTTTTTTTTCACAGTAACTTTTTAAAAGGGCGTATTAAAAATATGGATTGCATTTTTTCAAAAAAAAAATCATAACATGAAAAAATACACTGTAAAAAAAACTTAGTAAAT